CAGAGAGAGAGAGAGAGAGAGAGAGAGAGAGAGAGAGAGAGAGAGAGAGAGAGAGAGAGAGAGAGAGAGGTAAGCGAGAAGGGAGTATTTTTACTTACTTTGATATTGACAACTGATTTGACCCAAACAATAAAATCGTGGAACATATTGTTCTATAAGATATCTTAATTAAGGGACAAATAAATACTGTATTATAGGGAAAGTGAACTGATCTACAAAAACATGTGAACCGAGGCAGGAAGGACAAAATAATCTAAAATGTGTCGATGCTGTTATAAAATATTGACAATCAGTTCCAATCACCTGTAGATGGTGTGGACTCTTAATGCTTTCATTCCCCGTACATCTCTGGCTAGATTCAATAGGGTCTGACACTATTCTCTTAGAAGACATATACATGCAACTTCTCACTATGTTTTCGTCAGACAGCAGCTTCTAAATAATCTTCCGAAAACAACCACCAACTGAGTCATCACATTTTGCCATGGACGCACCTTTAACTCTAGATGGCCAAGGTGCTGATGTTCCCGGTTCGATTCCCCTTGGGGAAAGGGGAGGGGGAGGGAGCGATGCATGTGAATTGTTTAGGGAGTGTTTATGATTCTGTGCCAGCTTGATTCGGTTCAATTTGTGATATAAATTAAATTCAGACGTCTAGCCTCTCTAGTAATCTTTCAATAATAGAAATTGCATTTACATAGCACATATCCATGCTTTAGAGAATGCTCTGTACGCTTTACAACTATTATTGTTAAAACGGACGTTAAGCCCCTACAACTACACACATCAACATCGCTGGTTAACCTTGCATTTCTTGCTTCTTAAATAACTTAACTGAGTTGAAAGAGGCTTAAAACCAATATGATTGCCAGTTACTTACTTGCGTCGAAAGCAGTGACGTCAGTGCAGTTAGGTCCGCCTATTGTGGCCCACTCGCTCCGTGTGAAGGTGGGTGTGAACCCCATATAGTTAGTGCGTCGTTCTGTCCACTCGTTCGGACACAGTCGACCGTCACCTGGATACAGTTTGGATAGTTACAAGGCGCGCACATTCACACTATCACACACATACACACAGATACTCACACACCCACTCGCATACACAGATGATACCCATGTTAGACACATATACACACACTTTCATACATACAGACACACACACAGACAATCTCACACAGATACTATCTTTCTCTCTCTCTCTCTCTCTCTCTCTCTCTCTCTGACACACACACACACACACTCACACACGCAGAGATACACCCACTCGCAGATACACATACAGACACACAAAATAAAACACACAGACACACAGACTCGCACACAGACTCACACATATGCACTCACTAACACAAAAACACACATATACACACATACTCACACACACATGCATAAAGGGTAAATAGAAATGTGAAATTATGTAACGTACTTGTTTAGTTAACTAGTCGAAGCTGCATGATTTTGAGTGGTAAAAACATACTTGCAAAAACTCACAGTAAGTGCATCAACACTAATTTAAAAGAACATGCTTCGATCACTGAGTGTATACATAAGGAATTTAAGCCTTGGCTTGACCACACCCATAAATCGTTCTCACCCTGCCCGTGGTCTTAAACAACTTTTGCTAACTATGCTTTCCAATATCAATAAGATAACCCCAACGAAATAAGCAATAGGCAAAATATGATTGTCTGAAATCGCTTTATTAATAAATGGCCTAAGAACATAAGCCTCAAAGTCACTCAGTTGCTAATACTATAATAAGTATGAATACAGCTACTGTTGTTGTTATTGTTGTTGTTGTTACATTTGTTCTCATCCCCTGTGGTGCATTGGTTAGATTCTTTGCCGTTGCAAGCAGAAGACTTGAGTTCAACTCCCTCAAGGAGAACTTCTTTTATCGAGTACATCAGCCTGTCTTCTAGAATCTCGTACCTCATTTAACCTGGATTGCCGTGCAGAGGCAGAGTGAAAGCAAAATGCCTCCTGAATTCCAACTTGTGCTACCACAGTGGGAACTAATTGAAGGGATCAGAAAAATAAAACGTCTATATTATAAGAATGACGACACACGAAGTCGAAGGCTATACAACAGAACAATAAAGAAATGACTGGATTGATAGAAATCAGAGACATGGCCTACACAATGTACCTTAACAAACACGATATTATCATGCTCAAGTCCAGCTGCC